CTTTTGAAGGAACATTTTTCCACTGTGTACATCACTGCTTGTCAATTTGCTGTACCGAGGTAATCTGGATTTGCTGTGATGCTGAACCTTGTGCCATTGGAGTGTCAAATGCCATAATGGTTTCCCCAAGGTGGGCAGTGTGTGGTGGAGCTCCCAGCTGTAAAACAGGCTAGGAAGCAGGAGTGGAATCCACTTCCTAAACCACATGCCTATGAAAACTCTATGAACTTGGAGAATTGATGATAGTTATAGAAAGGCATTAGGTCTTTTGTTCATAGAGCCACTCTGAGTCATGCCTGACTTGATGGCAATCAACAACAACAATAACCTTTGGGTTAACAGCACAACCCCTTACCCAGTAGGCCATCAGAACTCCCTTTTTAATTCCCATTGTGTTTGGGGCTGTTGAGTCAAGCATGACTCCTAGCAACTCTATGAACGACAGATCTGAATCCCATCCTGGCCGGCAGCATCCTCAGTGGATCGCCACATCTTTCTTCTGCAGAGAGGCTGGTGAGTTTGAACTGCTGACCTTTTGGTTAGCAGATCAAGTCTTCACCTGCTGCGCTCTGGGAAACAGTCGCTTGAATAATCTTTGCCATCAGGCAGAATTGCTGTTGAAAACCTCACTTTTCTGTTCATTGTCCTTCATTGAGTATCCATGTAAAAACTCCTTGCCTTTTCATTTCAGGACATAATTAGCTTTCTCTCATAAACCAAAACCCGAGACCCTCTGCCAGAGTCACTTCTCAGTCCTGGTAGCCCTCCGTTAGGTTTCCAAGGCTGTAAATCTTTTATAGGGGCAGAGACTAGGGGGTTTGAACTGCTGACCTTCAGACACTCAGCCCGATAGGGAAGGTGGTGTGCTTAGAGGCTTGTGTCTTCTCTGTAACCGTAGTGTGTGTCCCTGTATCAACCAAGGAGCTGATCTTAGCGCTTGGATTTCCCCCGACAACTGGGAGTGAAGTTTCATCCTTAATTGCAGCAGCTGTTTTTAGCTCTTCCTTTCTTAAATATGACTTTATTTATCTACAGGGATGGCTCGCTTGCACATGTTTTCCTTCCCACTAAACTCTGATGAGCTTTTTTGGGTTTTGAGGGTGAATGAATGGAACGTGTACCTAATTTTGTAAGCTGTCGTTTTGGAAGCAAATGATACTGGTGCACCCAGCGAGGCTTCAGTAGTAACCGCTTTTCTCTACATTTATTTGGGGAACGGAACTGGGGCGTGGATAGCTCTGGCCTGGTTCCTGGTGGGTTGGTTCTTACGTAACCTCAGTGCAGACATTGAAATGCACAGTTAACCCAAGGCTTCAGATGGCTAAGTGCAGGGTGAATAAAACCCACTTGATTAGTACTCACAGCCACACCGTGTGTGCCACAGTGGAACTGCACACCTCTGGGGTTTTGATGGCTGATTTTCCCAGTGATGGATTGCCAGGCCTTTCTTCTGGTGCATTTCCAAGCAGACTATAACCTTTAACCCTTTGCTAAGCAGCTTACTCCTAACTACTGCCCAGAAACTAATAAAGGAAAGAAAACTCCAAACTGCTGAGAAATTAGAGATGACCTTATTTTTGGGTGAGATGAGATGGAATACGTTTTGTTTCAGTACTAGGAGTCCTAGTGGTGTCAGGCATGATGCAGTGGGCTGCTAACGGGTAGCTTGATGGTTCCTGTCCACCAGACGCTCTGGGGGAGAAAAAGGGACAGGGTCTTCATCTTCTTCACCCTCACTGACCCTTCACTTAACATGATGCCTTCCTCCAGCAGTGAGTCCCTCTGGATTGTGTGTCCACAGTGAGCTAGACAATAGCACATCAGGTTGGTTTGTGTGTGAAAAATTATAACCTCTGTGATGTTAATGCCACCACTTGTCTGTCAGTGTGCTGTGTGGTGGCTGTGTGTTGCTGTGATGCTGGGAGCCTTTTCCCTGATATTTCAAATACCTGCAGGGTCACCCATGGTGGACAGGTTTCAGCAGAGCTTCCAGACCAAGGCAGGCAAAGAGGTGAGACCAGTCTACTTCTGAAATAACAGGCCCTCAGAAAACCCTATGAATAGCGTTGGGCCATTGCTCTGCCTAAGCCCGTTGTCTCAGCCACTGGTTACTTTGCGTGCTTTCAACCTAGGGGCTCATTTACCATTGCTGTATTGAGTAACAGTCTGTTATGATCAAGGTGGTTAGCACTGGCTAATACTTAGAAGTAGATCACCAGCCCTTTCTTCCTAGTCTTTGTGTGGAAACTCTGCCGAAACACAAGTGACCCTGTTGGCATTTGAAATTCTGGTGGTGAAGCTTCCAGAACCTTGGCAACACGATAGTGCATTACAACAGTGACAAACGGATGGTGGCAGAAGAAAGAGGAGATGGCTTGCTAACGTGTTCTTCCAGAGGAAAAGAGTCTTGCAGTCAATTTAGGTATAGGACAGATTTGGCTGGGAGTGAAAGGAGGTTGACTTATAAGACACTGAAAATATGTCCCTTATAATTGGCAAATTATGGACATGATAATTTTGTAATAAGGATCCCTGAGTCGTAGTGTATCACATATCTTATGCTAACTCAAGGTTAGAGGTTCGAATCATCAGCCATTCCAAAGGAGAAAGATGAGCAGTCTCCTCCTATAAAGACTTACAGCCCTGGCAGCTAGACGGTGTCTGGTACCACCATTGTCCATTCTTAACAGGGACAACAGTAGAAGGTTAGGTGGGGGAAAAGGAAATGTGGACCAAAGTGCAAAATTGTGAAAAAGGCCTTGTTTGGTAGTCTGATAGAGACTGGTGGAACTTTTGAGACTCTCTCTAAATCATCCTCCAAACTCAGAACAAAAATTCACCCGTGTGGCTCTATTTTCAGCCAAACGACAAGATGACCAGTAACGCCAAGGGGCACTCACTTCTTAGAACAATCAATCGTGAAAGGAACAAACAGCAGCATTTGTGGGGGAGTGAAGTGCTGAGGGCAGGAGGGATAGGCTAGAAGGATGAATGGAAATGAGAATTGCAAGGAGGAAGTGGGAAGAGTGTGATTACCTTGGAGGTATTGTAATGACTGTTATGAAACAAAACGTGTGTGAAAGATTGAATGGAAAACAGAGATACTTTGTAAACTTCCACTCCATCACAGTGAAAAGAAATAAAGAAAAAGGTATTACGGTCTCAGAAACCTAATGGAGCTTTGTTACGAGTCAGAACTGACCGGACCACAGTTTGCTGTTTGGTGCCTCACACTTGCATCCCCTGTGTGGCCGGCCTGGGGCTGGCGACTCGTGGTGTGGTGTTAAGGACGGTGGAGGCTGACAGCTGGCTCCCAGGCAGACAGTATCTGCTTCACTTTTTGGGGCCCATACTTGTCCCAGTTGTTCTGTTGAGTAAAAAGTACCTTTGGTAGAAATAGAGGAGTCAGGAAGTGTGGCCTATTTTTCAGGAAGATAATTAATTCCTTTTTAGAGATCTTGAGTTTGAAAGGAGATTTTTGACATCCGAGTGGCAGCGTCTGGTGCTTCTCAAGGCTGCTGCTGTCGGAATAGCTCCTAGGAGGCTTGGTTACTCCAACCAGCTGGCTCTGTGCTCAAGGTCAAGGCCCTGGTTGACTTCTACCTGGGCAGTTCCCTGCCCAAATGCTGAGGTGTTCTGGACCTGAGGGAGGGTGGGGTGCCCCGTGGGCCTGGCATTCTGAGTAGGTGAGGGACTCCTGTTCCGTGATGACCACCAGCTCTAGAATTCTCTGGTGGGGAAGGTTGCTTGCATTTGAGTTGCTCTGAGAAGTGCAGTCTGGAGCCTGAATAGCCAGAGACTGGCCTTCTTTCAGTTTCCTTTCCTTTAAACATTCACCGTGCTGTTTGGGAGCATTGTTGAGGGGTAGCCCCAGCTGTGGCCTACACCCCAGTTCTCCATGTGGACTCAGCCTTTTGTACAGAAGGGTCTCTATATGTGGTTTACCAGAGAATGAGGGATGTTTAAAAAGAGACCTAAACATCATTTCTCTCCCACAAATAACATAGGCAAGGAAGCTGTCAGCCTTGTCTTGCCTGCCGCCAATGGTGGGGAGCTTACTTCCTCCCATTGACTTGCATGCCTCTAACCAGAGAGCTTACACCACACCATTGGCTTGAATGCCTCCAGTGACAGGGAGCTTACCTTCTGTCATCGGCTTGCATGCCTTCAGTGGTGGCCACTTTACACAGAGAATTCTGTTACTCTCTTGGAAAATTGTCCTTTATTAGAAGCTAGAATTTGCCTCCCTCTCATTCCTACCTGTGGCCCTAACTCAGAGGTTTCCTGTTGCCCCATTTTCCAGATAAGGGTACAGAATCAGAAGCGTTTATGACCTTGCGCAGTATGACAGAGACCCTCAGGAAGTGTGGCAACAAAAGCTGTACTCTGTCTACTGTGGAGAAGACCCTCTATCCAACTGCCTTCGTCTTCCTCCCCCCACCCCGCCCTTGCACTTGACTCTCAATTCCTGCTGATGCTTTATGCAGCTGAATGAATCATCATTGGGCCTTGCACCATTCCCCATAAGTGGCTGGGGCTTGGAATGCTGTGATCCGCCGGATTCTTTTCACTGGTTTTTGACAGTGGATCACCAGGACTTTCTTCCTAGTCTTAGTCTGTTCAGCTGCATAGCAACTCATCAAGCTTCACTGAGAGGTGGGTGGTGCCTGTAGGAATTGAAGTCAAGTCTCCTGTGTAGAACACGAGACATCTACCACTGAACCACCACGCCTGATAAATCAAATGGGGGGAAACGAGACTAAATAGGGAGCAAATGAGGTTTTAAAGAGAGTGATGAAAGGAAATAGTGGGAAACGAAGGAACATGTGAAGTGAAGGAAGAAGAGATGAGTTTGTTTGGGGACAGCTCAGACCATTGGATGCTGGAAATTTCCCCTCTCGGACAGTCATTGTTATTTCAGGGGAAGCACTCACTGTCTGAAGACTGGAGTACGAGGGATGATAATGTCTCTCTCTCCCTCATTGTCTGTGTCCAGGGAGAAGATGCCGTTCCACCACGTGACTGCTGGCCTGCTGTACAAGGGGAATTACCTCAACCGATCCTTGTCTGCTGGCAGCGACAGTGAGCAGCTTGCTAACATCTCGGTGGAGGAGCTGGACGGTAAGCAGCCCGCCCTGCTTGGCTCAGAGTGTCCCCAGGGAGGCATCTGTGGCTATTGTGAATCTAAGGTGAAAACAACAGGATCTGACCTGTTATGGGCCTGCAGTGGCCAAGCTGAACCATATGGTGCTGTGGGAAAGAGTCCAAAGATAAAATTACCTCTAAAGGACTTCTTTGTGAGGGCCAGACCTAGTAGCCAGAAAGATCTGTGATGAGTGTTCTTGTTTCCTTGGATACTGATGGGGGCAAGTGCCTTTGGCACTCTTCAAGGTACTTCCACATTATGGTGCCTTTACTATCAGCGGCATGGTCAGGCGCCCACATTGTCACTTATAGTGGGGTCCAGCTGCAGGGGAGGTCTCTGCTCAGCAAATGACCATGTCTGGTTTGGTGCTGTTTTGATCAAAATCACCTGGAAGCTGTGTCCAGGCATGAGTGGGCAGCAATTACTTTAATTACTTTGACTATAACAAGTCCAGCTCTGGGCGTTCTTGGCAGGGACTTAGGATGGGAAGAAAACTGGGAGTTCAGTGACAAAATCTGTCGCAAAGAACATTACATCAGACCCTGTTGTCTGCCAGGTAAACCAAACACCTGATTAAAAAGATAATAATTAAAGAAGAGACTGTTTCCAGAAAAGAAGTGCAATTAGACAGATTTGACTGGATGTTTCTCCTGAGTGAGGCGTCTGCTAAAGCCCGGCTGGAATTGGATTTTATTATTTTCTGTTGTTTCATTCCTTGTAACACCAACTTTTAGCAGAGTGTAAGTGAACTTTCTAAAGTAGAGAAGTAAAAATGATACCAGATGGCCTACGTGTTTGCTTCCAAGTGTAATGGTCTAGACCATCATGGTGTGTTCAGTCATTTCTAAAAGAGGGAAGGATGAGCTGGAGGGAGAGGCGGCATTGCTGGCCCAGTGGAGCCATGACTTGCTGTACAATGTGCAGCCCATCCTGTTACGAGGAGGGGTTGAGGGAAACGAGCCAGATCCTCAGACAGTGTTCTCTCCTCTTGTCCAATTTTATTTGCTTTACTCTTTGCATGAAGACACAGATGATGCTGCAGGAGTTACTGGCTGGCATTGAGTAGCTGAGACCAGTGGAGCGTCTGGGAGGTGCTCAGTGCTCAGTGAAGCCAGGCTTTTTGAGAACAGGACCCTCTCACTACAGTCTGGGCTGCCTGGTGGCCTGAGAGGAGAATGGACCATGGGTTTCTTGGCCTATAGTTGGCCAAAGGATGTGTGGATGCAGGACACTGGGCAACAAATAGAACTGGGAGGGCTTGACCTCTCCAGAGAGGATCTGTAGAAGCTGATGATCTTGAGGGGAAAAAAAAACCAAACTAAAACAACAAAACCAAAAAACTAAACCCTGGTGACTTCGTGGAAAGGGCTAGATGCAATGATTTCTCTTTCACTTTAGAAGGACTTTTCCAGCATGTCCCGTATTACTGAGCCTCTGAATATTTCACTGAAGTGGAAGGTGTCTAGATTTTTGTTAAGGTAATTTCCCACTTTTCTAGTGTGTTAATGTCTTGCCAATAAGTCTATAGTCATTGATAAGTCTTCCTTAAAACTGACAAACATACTGTCTTTGAGCTGATTTCTGGGTTTTATCTTTCCCCCACAGAGCAGGTAGTGTATTTGGACCAACAAACCCAACAGTTAGCCCAGCATACAGTGCACTACATCACTAGGGTTTGTTTTACTTCTTCCTTGCTAAGCATAATGTCATTCACCAGTGTGGCCTCTTGCATAAGGGTAACATGATTCAGGTCCCTGTGGACTAGTTGATGATACAGTGCTGGAATGTTGATATACCCTTGCAGTAGGACAGTGTAGGTATATTGCTGAGCTTTCCAGATGAAAGCCAACTGCTTCTAATGAGCTTTGGCACTGGAATTGAGAGAAAGACATTGACTAGATCAATATATGCACACCAGATGATTTAGCAGGAGAGGCCGAGACCTTCTTACTCTCTCAGGAGTCTTTTCCTCTAAGTGGGGGTTAGATCAGGTTGTGCATTTGTTTCTGTTGCTCTCCAGAAGGAGAGATTACAACTTTCCTGTGTCTGGGTCCTCTAGAGCAGCCCTGCTTGGAGGGGTAAGGTGGCCTCTCTCTTCTCTGAAAATTTCAGTAAGGCTGAAATTCCTAAGAAATCTAATTTTGAAATCACTTGGGCTTTCACAAACCTTTGATTTCTATTTCTGTCACCTCCTGACCCAATGATGCCGTGAAAACCCAAGTCAGACCAAATTAAACCAAACCCATTACCATTGAGTTGGTTGCAAAGATCTTATGTGTTTAAAGAATAGAATGTATCCATAGGTTTTCTTGACTTTACTCTTTTGTGGAAGAACCCAGGTTTTCATCCTCAGAGCTTGGGTGGGTTTGAACCACTAGCCTTTGGTTAGTAGTGGAGAATGAACTGCTTTTGCCATGCGGAAGTGACCAGAAGAACAGTCAAGAGATTATTTCTCTTAGGCTTCTCTGAGCAGTGGCCTCTTTTCTTTGTTGCTTAAATCAGATTCTGCTAGGACAGTAGTAGAGAACCACTGCTCTGGGGAACCACTGCTCTGGGGCATGACATTTCACGATGATCACTGGCTGAATGGCCCTCCACACTCTCCAAGGAGCCTAATAAAGTGCCCTCGAGTTCTTAGGGAGACAGCAGAGCATGCTGTTGTTTGGTGCCGTGGACTGAGCTCTGACTCAGTGACCCCTTGGGTAACAGAATGAAATCCAGCCCCATCCTCAAGTCTCTGCTGTGCTTGTTCATATTGTTGGGAACACGGTGTCAATCCATCTCCTTGAGGGTCTTTCTCTTTTTACTGACCCCCCCCCACTTTAGCAAGCATAATGTCCTTCTCCAGAGACCAGCCCCTCCTGATAACATGTTCAACGTTAAGAGAGATAAAGTCTCACCCATTCTGGCTACACTTGCTCCATGACAGAAACACTTCTCTAATTAATGACTGTGAAACAAGTAATTCAGACACCACTCTGTTGGGGTCCATAAGGTTTTCACTGACTAATTGTCAGAAGTAACTAGCTGATTTGCCGTTCTTCTTACTTTTTCTTAGACGGAAAGCACTGTTGAAACTTGTCTGATACTTAAAATGAACAAGTGTGTAGCTCCCAGTTTCACAGCATTATGCAAAGCACTGCAGAACAACATGCTAGGGTGTTCTTTAGACAGGGTGCAGGGCTGGAGCAGGGCAAGGAGGAGAAGAGGGGAGCGATTCAACAGACTTAGAGCCCAGGATGGACCCCCTTAGTGCTGGAAGTCTTCAAAACACTGGGTTGAGTGGAGTGTATGCTTTCTGACCTCAAGCTGCCAAGGGAGACACCATGTTCCTTTGGGATTATAATTCAGGCTCCTATCCTGGAACAGGGCTATTTATTTTCTGACCGAAGATTCATTGTTCAGTTTATGTGTCCTCACTAGGAGCACACTGAGTTATAACTGACCATGCTTTCTTAGCAACATCCAGGGGCTCTGGGAAGGACTGCGTGGATATGTTCCAGGTTTAGAACCGACGAGGAGAGGGAATTGGGAAAATGAGGTCTGGAAACCCACTTGCCCTCATCAGTTCATATGACTGCTGGTTGGCTCTTGGCAATGTCCAGTTTCAGGAGCGTTGTCCACGGAGCATTCTCACAGGGCTGCCTCTTGTCAAGCCTTCTTTTGCTTTGTTGTTCATGGACCTCTCTAGAGGACAGCAGGGCTGCACAAGGCTTTGATGTGTTTGTTGGACAGTGGTGGACACCCAAGCATCTTCTGTGAATCTACAACCCTGGGTGTTAGATGGTTACTTTATTATATTGTATGCCTATCAGCCTTTCAGTGGTTGCAGTCTGTGAATGGCCACATGGATGTTCTTCTATCTAAAATATAAAACTAAAAGCTCTAGTTTCCACTAAGTATATTCTGACTCCTGGAGACACTGAGTATCACAGCAGAATTGTGCTTCATAGGGATTTCATGGGTGGGTTTTTGCAAGCAGATTGCCAGAGCTTTCTTTGGAGGACACGTTCAGTTGAATTCAAACCATCAACCTTTTGGTTGGGAGCCAACTACGTTAACTGTTTATATAGCCTAGGGTATTTTTTAGTGTATCAGGTTATGTATTGGACTGCCACCTTAAAGGATACAACCCTAACACAAACATTTTCTGATTTTCAACTATATTAAACCCCTTTGAGTTTGTTTTTTTTTAAAATGCCTATTTCTTGATCCATGTACAGTTGCTGATCAGTACAGTGAAGTAAATTTGTTATGTATGATCCATATAGTTGAATACCTTTGCATAGTTAATAAAACAGGTAAACATGCTTTCAGCCAAGGTCCATTTGATGTCAACAATGATAGATAGCCCCAGTTTCGTGTTCTCTTCAGATTCTGCCTTGAATTTTTGGCAATTTCCTGTTGATGTATTAAAGCAACTATTTTTTTTTTTGCAACTATTTTTAAGTTACCTTCACTATGATTTTACTTGCATATGAAATCAATGATATTGTTGGATAATTTTCACATCATGTTGGTTCATTATCGGGATGGGCACAAATACAGATCATCTACCTTCTGTTGGCAAAGTAAGGAGTTGTTCTCAATTTCCTTGGCATAGATGAGTAAGCACTTCGAGCCCTGCATGCATTAGTTGAACACTTGAGTGACTATAATGACAATTCCTGATACCTTGCTTTTGCCAGGGCCTTCATTGCAACTTGAACTTCTTCCTTTAGTGTCATTGGTTTTTGATCATGTGTTACTTGCTTAGATGGTTAAATGTTGATCAATTCTTTTTTGGTACAGTGACTTTATATATTCCTTCTGTCCTCTTTGGCTGCTTCCTGCATTGTCCAATATTTTGCCCATTGATCTTTTTTTTTAGATACCACTGAGTCGGGTACAACACATAGCAACCCTAAGAACAACAGGTCTGAACTCTGTTCTATCCTGTGCCATCCTCAGCATCTCTGACGTACTTCCTTCAATA